CTCCCGGGACTTTTTTTGGGCTTTCCTAAACCCACTAAAAAACAAGCACAAAAACCAATGGATTATTACGAACTGTTTCATATGAATCCACAGAGTAATGTTCACTCTCACGAAACAAGGTCAGACTGGCTCAGAATGCGTATGTGGGCACGGACAGATGAACACATTCAGTACAGCAGACGAAAACTGAGGTGATGAACAAAAACTAGGACAATATTTGATGAAAAAAGTAATCGAAAACTAGGGCAAACAAAAACCAAGGTTCCACTGTATTTACAGTTATATAAAACTATTATTACTCGAACTGAAAAAATATTCCAGACATAGTGGACAGTGATCCAGTTATCCTATACATGTACAGTGGACCCCCGGTTAACGATATTTTTTCTCTCCAGAAGTATGTTCAGGTGCCAGTACTGACCGAATTTGTTCCCATAGGGAATATTGTGAAGTAGATTAGTCCATTTCAGACCCCCAAACATACACGTACAAACGCACTTACATAAATACACTTACATAATTGGTCGCATTGGGAGGTGATCGTTATGCGGGGGTCCACTGTATATCTATCTGATACCTTTACATTATATAATTCATGAGTTACTGATACTGGTACTGATACTGATACTGATACTGATACTGATACTGATACAGCCTGGTATAAATATTCTGTGTATGAATATTCACACTGTATAAATAATCTTTAAATACATCTAGAAAACTGACAGAGCTTTTCCTCAAGCATCTGCATACATCTTACTAGATAACACTCAGCACTGTATTTTATCATGCTGTATTTTGACAAGATTTCCCTCCCACATGACTTCCGATGTGTTGCAGAAGACTGATTTTTTTTGTAAGAACTCTTCTGAAAAATTATACAATACAACTTCCAATTCGTATGAATTATCAGGAGTTTCAGGAAATAAGTTTTATCTGAAAAGTCTCTTAAACAGTATGAAGTTCCATGTGTTTTACTAAATTATGTTTACGTAAAAAGCCTTTTAAACATTCCGAACACTGATATGGTTTCTCTTCAGTATGACCTGCAATATGCCGTATTAAATCTGATTTTCTATTAAATTTTCTTAGACACTCTGAACACTTATATGGTTGTTCTCCAATATGCACTTTCATGTGTCTTTTTAAGTAAGTGTTATCTGAAAAGCCTTTTAAGCATTCCGAACACTGATATGGTTTCTCTCCCGTATGAACTGTAATGTGTCGTATTAAATCTGATTGTTTATTAAATTTTCTTGGACATTCTGAACACTTATATGGTTGTTCTTCAGTATGCACTTTCATGTGTCTTTTTAAGTAAGTGTTATCTGAAAAGCCTTTTAAGCATTCCGAACACTGATATGGTTTCTCTCCCGTATGAACTGTAATGTGTCGTATTAAATCTGATTTTTTATTAAATTTTCCTAGACACTCTGAACACGTATATGGTTGTTCTCCAGTATGAATTCTTTTGTGTCTTCTTAAATCAGATTTATTGGAAAAGCCTTTTAGACACACTGAACACTGGTATGGTTTCTCTCCAGTATGAATCCTTATGTGATTTATTAAATAAGGCTTTTGTGAAAACACTTTTAGGCACTCTGAACATTGATATGGTTTCTCTCCAGTATGAATCCTAATGTGTTGTGTTAAATCACGTTTGTGTGTAAATTTTCGTAGGCACTCCAAACACTGATGTGGTTTCTCTCCAGTATGAATTCTTATGTGACTAACTAATAAATATTTTTCAGAATAAGTTTTTAGGCAGTCTGAACACTGATAACGTTTCTCTTTAGTGTGAATTTTCCTGTGCCTTAATAAATTAGATTTGTTTGCAAAATCCTTCAGACATTCGGAACACTGAAGTGGCTTCTCCCCAGTATGAACCTGAATGTGTTTCCTTAAATCAGACTTGTTCAAAAAGGCATTTGGACACTCTGAACACTGATATGGTTTCTCTCTAATATGATTTGTTATATGTCTCATCAAATCAGATTTTCTGAGGAAGACTTTTTGACATACTGAGCAGTGAAGAGCTTCTGAGTGAACTGTATTTTGTGTTTCTTGAACACATTTATTTTTGAGTGTTTTAGACATATTGAACAGTGATCAAATAATCTTCCATATGAATTATAATCTTAGCCAAAACTGTTTTCTGTAAATATCTATTTACAATGAAAACCAATATTTTTGGAATACTGGTACGTGATATTATACACATCAGAAATTACTAACTTCATAAGGGCCAGTGTCTGGCAAACACAAGAGATGATTTAAGGAATTAGAAAATATCAAATTCCTTGGATCAAGTCCTCAGTCGTGGCAAAGCACTTCACAGAAGGTTTCTCTAATACCATTTCAAAAGTTTTCACAACAATCTTCAGAACGATATATACTGATATAAGTTGATGTAATACCTCTCACGCATATTACAAAAGCATATTTATGATTATTTTCTGGTCACAAAAATCTGATTTCTTTCTCTCTACTGGTCTTGGTGCTTTCTATAAAGTCAAGTGATTGCTACAATGACTTTAAATTACCTAAGATAACTTATCAGAGGCACAAAGAATGTGTTTTGAACTGAGTACACAAACAAGTTATGAAAACCTCTGGTGCCAGGATAACCTGAATAATGGCACAAGTGCAATTTTTTGGTATCTGGATGACCTGCAATGTTGGTACTACAAGTGTCAGCCTCAAGTGCCAGCATCACCTGGAAAGAAACAAATGGCACAAATAAACAAAATATTTACCAACTATAATATTAAACTTTTTCTTCAAGAACATTAAGATTTTTAATTACGCTATACGGGTCGTGTGTAATATTTATAAAATGTTAAAGGAGAAGCTTTCGTTTTTGCTTTTGGGCCACCCTGCCTTGGTGGGATGCTGCCAGTGTTTTGTATGAAAGAAAGAAATATCTTATTAAACTTTTTCTTCAAGGGTGTTAATGTTGCAGTTTAAAAACTGTAGTGTAAAGCACCCTTCTAGCAAGACAGTGATGGAGTGAATGATGGTGAAAGTTTTTCTTTTTCGGGCCACCCTGCCTTGGTGGGAATCGGCCAGTGTGATAAAAAAAAAAAAAAAATGTAATACTTATAGAATCCAATGAAAATGCCACATTTAGTCCTGGTGTGACACCATATTCACTTAACAAGATCTGCTTCAGTGCCACTCACATGACATCAGGACTAAATACGAGGTTCTAAGCTTCTTTCTACATTCTCTTTGTATCTACAGAAGTGAATTCCTCAAAGAAGAACGAGACTTCCACAAGCAAGTCTTTATTAAACTTCATTACCAGTGACATTTCATCAGAGCTTGCAGATGCCAGGACACCAACACAAGAAGATACATATTCCTCCTTAACTCCATTGTTAAATATATCTTCAATACCAAATTCCAAGACAATCAGGGACAATCACAGACAAAGGCAGCACCAGAAAGAGATACCACCCGAATGCCTGGTGGCGGCTAAAGCTCTCATTTCACACACGGAGGGTCTGGGTTTGACCCCTGGAGGGGTGGAAACATTTCAAAGTGTTTCCTTACACCTGTTGTCCTGTTCACCAGCAGCAAATAAGTACCTGGGTGTTAACCCTTTGAGGGTCGACAGGTTCTCTCAGAAACTCGTTCTCAGGGTCGCCAAAATTTAAAAAAAAAAAAAATATTTTTTCTTATGAAAAGATAGAGAATCTTTTCCCTATCATAATGACACCAAAATTATGAGATTTGATGGAAAACTTACGGAATTATGCTCTCGCGAAGTTAGCGGTCTCGGCGATGTTTACGCATCGGCGATTTTGCCCAATTTGAGCCCCATTTTCGGCCAATTCCTCTGTACTAGTCGACAAACAACATTAATATTTCGCTAGAACTACATTTTTTCTATTGAATGAGTGCAAGAAACCACCCATTTACCATTTTCAACTATCCAATACAGTGGTCAGAATTTAGCAATTTTGCCAATTTCACACAAATTTCAAAAAATGCCAATTTCCGAATAGTGTCCAGAACAAACAAGAAATACATTCCTGGCACTAAAATGACATTTCTTCTGCTCATTAGTCACGTCTCAAGGCCCTTCTTACATTCTTTTGCTTTCCACTTTGAATTTTTATTCTCACGAAAAATAGAAGATTTACTGTTATGCAGACTACTGTATTAGTGTAGAAAATGATATAAATCATATTGGCACAATTGCAAAAGAATATTAGACTAACCAGTTGACGTGTATTGGACGCTTGGCATGATTTGTTTACTTTTGAACTTTGGTAAAAAGCGAACATTTCTGCTACTTTGAGCTCAATTTCAAGGTACTTTTCATTGTAAAACCAGTAAAAATCATCTCAATTTCTGTAATATGTCTTCCATTCTATAAAATGAGACCAAGAAAACTTGAATACAACAATAAATACCATACGAAAATACAGTGCAAAGACGCTGTTTTATGCCAAAAAAAACGTGAAAGTTTTTTTTTTCTCATTATGCACTGTGTGCTGCAGGATTTTTTTTATCCTGTGCACACTGACCACATAGACCCATTCTTTCATATGGAGGCCTACCAGCCTCTTCCCGCGAGATTTGACGGCGCTAGAATTTATGCGTACTAGTACGTCAAAAACCCCTACGCGTAAGACGTACTAGTACGACCAAAACCCTCAAAGGGTTAATCAACTGGTGCGGGTCGCATCCTGGGGGACAAGATTGAAGACCCCAATGGAAATAAGACAGACAGTCCACGATCATGCACTGACTTTCTTGAGTTATCCTGGGTTGCTAACCCTCTGGGATTAAAAATCCGAATGAAATCTTATCTTACAAAATCAAGCCACTGCAGGAGTATACAAATAAACTGCAACACAAGTGGCAAA